AATTCATCTTCCCAGCGGCCCAAGTAAAGGAGCTATTCCACAGTGTCTGCATGCATACGTTTATTTCTCTGTGAGAGCATGTGTGGGCGTGCGTGTGCCCGTGTGTGTGTGTGTGTGTGTGTGTCCCTGCGTGGGCAATGGTTGATGTGAGTACATGAGCCACCACTTATCCTTGCTTCTACAGCCACTCGGCTCCCTCTTGAACGATCCTTCCCTTACACTAAATAAAACATAACCCTTTTTCATTTGTTACACCGAGAACCCACAGCTCATATTCATATTCACACCCGGACCGACACAGGTCTTTAAGCTGGGACTGGGACACGAGGAGGACGAGGGGAGGTTGTAACGAAGCGAATTACTACAATAATTAAACACAGTATAACTACCTGTCCCGAGTTGAAAGCGGTCCCAGTTCCTTTCCATTACACTGAACTCCATATATTATAACTGTAATTATAATTGCAAACAAGCCTTGCTGTAATCATTATTTATGACACTGACACTGTGTGTAATTGCCAAACCCCCGAACCAATATGTGAGGCCCAGTGAAGTGTTTATCAAAACCGACAGGAGAAATCTCAAGGGCAGCGAATTGGTCCTGCATCCGCCCATCGTCCACAGCAACACCGTGGCTAACCATCCTCGAAGGATTTGGACCTGTGACCTCTCGGTCACCGCTCTTGCCAGAGAGCCGCTAACACAACGAGATGCAGAGTTCAGCTTCGGCCTGGCAGGTTGTGGGGTCACTAGCTCACAGGGTTATAGATCTCTGTCTTGCCTGTAATTGGAAATGCTGCAAAACCCACGTAGTGAGGGCACAATAATGAATACAGCTCAAAATGATTCTCTTTTCTGGTCCTTCGGTATTGCTACTGGTGCGTGCCACCTCTGAATGAAGAGTATGAGCTGATTCTCTTAGGGATGGAGGTATAGACTTTCCAGAGCCAGGTGCATTAAATTCAAACATTTCATTTTTACTATGTGCCACAGTATCGCTTCATTTGCCCTCCTTGAAGTTACCAAAAAGACAATCCCGGTTTTATTGTCCTTTTGTCTATGTGCCTATCTTGGCTTTGGTGTCTTGGTTCTTGTCATGCTGCAAGCCAATTTTCCCATCTGAGATAGTAAAAACTGAACTGAACTGCTTGTATTTTTACAGCCCTTGATGTGGATCCTTAACACCTTAAAATCGAAACAAGCATGTTGCCAGGTTGGACATGAGAGCAGTGGTGCAGTAGCTGGTTCACTTCTAAATTAATCAGAGTTGTAATTTACGTCTTTAAGTAACTGAGGCGATTCCACAAAATCTGCAGTATAGTATTTTACTTTTGCGAGAAATTCGGATATATTTCCAAAATGTTTCAGCTGCTTTAAGATTGGAAAGAAATCAAGTTTAATCCCATTCTGTAACACCTTTACCTTTACAGTGCTTCTTAATTTAGTAACACCGGAATACATCAAAGGCAATTCAAACCAAATGTCTCACAACGTTTCTCCAGTACACCAAACTTCACTCCTCCAATCCTGTCTTCATCACGTGTGTGACATGTTTTTTTTTTTTTTTTTTTTTTTTTTTTAAATTTATCTTCAGTTCACAACAATTCATTAACATTAACATTAAGTTTCTGCACAACACCAAATTCACCTATTCTTCTTCCATCACAGTACCTCTCTGCCAGTCCTAGGTCAAAACACAGGTGCATTTTCTTAAGGTACTATATTGGCTCCACTATATGTGAGGAACAGAGTCAGTGGAAGATGCTGTATGCACTGCACCATAGGCCACCACACACCAGGCAAGAGAACCAGAAAAAAGTGAATCCCAGGGGAAAAACATTCACACCACAGATGCAGGCTGGTTAAAACTCCAACCCTTGTCCCCGAGGCTCTTGAGACCAAATCCAGGCCCTCTCACTCCAACACTTGCAGATAAATAAAACCTGCCAAAATGGCAGAGCATTTCTAAGCCAAACATGGAGAACAACAGCACACAGAAACCACGGATTTCAAAGGGAGGGAGAAAAAGCAGAGGCCCCTCCAGAATAGGAGCGCGAGGCATCTGTTGATGCTGGCATCTCCCTTCTCTTCATCCCCAAGCCAAAAATGGCGATCCAGTCGAGTGTGTGTGTGTGTGGGTGTGTGTGGGTGTGTAGGTGTGTACGTCTGCGTGTGTGTCTGTGAGGGGGCAGGGAAGAAGGAGGGTGGCTACATGCTAACATGTGCAATGTGCATTGACCCCACTTGGCCCCCATATGCCGCTGAAACAAGAACGATGGTGGGCTACAAAGCGACCCCGCCTGTCCCTGCCCTGTACATTTCCTCTTCCAGAACCTCTATCACAGCAGCGCGTGTTGGTGGGAAGACCCATCTGCTGGACTGTTTGAACATTAGTGACATATACTGTAGGTACAGTACAGGAATTTCGTGCAGTAGAAATGCAATAATGGATACCTGCACAGCAGAAATCAGTTTGTTATCCTAATCTAAATATAACATTAAAATAAAATCTGCAGAGATATAACCTTAAACGTCCTCTGTTGTGACCTAATAAGCAGAGGCAATTTCTCTTGTCATCTTCATTTTTCACTTAATCAATGACGACATCATCCTTATGATCAGATCTCGCAGGTTTGTGTCATAACAGAAATCCTCTGAGCGAAGGGTAAATTGTTTAATTTCTGGCGGAGGTGTGTGTGGATCCACTAACAGCCTTAATGTTCCATCATCAGGAACTCGCAGCAAAGCCTCACAGTGTCTGGTCTCATAGATGAGACAGGTTTTGATTAATTGCAGACAGCTTGTGTGCCAGAAATACGTAGATATTTTACTGTATGTCTGAGTGGGCGCCTGGCGATCCACCTCTCCTGAGTTATGCTTATGCTTCTCAGACATTTTAAATAAAAAAAGAGAGTAAATGAGGGAGTGAAAGGTATGACGGTATGCCAGGAATGACCGTCACACCCATCGTGGTGTGGTTGTGTATTAAAAACGCCAAGCCAGTGGGAAACCTTAGAATAGCCTAATGGTTTTCTGCAGCACAGCAAAAAAAAAAAAGCCCTTTTCAACCTGGTTGTCACACTGTAGTAGAGGTAGGAAACAAATTTCACTATGTGTTTCTGAGGGTATTAAAGATAAAATGGCACTCTCTCTTAATAAATATTTGTTATGCATAACGTGAAGTGGCTAAATGAGTGATAATCATTGTCAAGAGGAAGAAATATCTTCAAATGAATAAAATACTGTAGAAGCAGTAGAGTCATTCAGAGGCATTTATATATACATCATTAACCGGGTAATAATAACTCACACACAATCTGCTAAACAGTATTGAGGAAGCATTAATGCAACCACATGCCACACTAGCCTGACTCTCAGGGGCACAGACAGAAGGGATTATTCCTCTGCTGCATGATTTATCAAGCAGCGGACGGTGCCCTTTTAACAGTCATGTTCTTCCTTTATAATGCATGCTTTCCACCTTAAAAGACGAATGTGTTGTGGACCTACAGCAACTAAGAGGAGCAGGCAGGATGCCTCCCCAAGATGAATCTGATTCACGTTTGCTGCAATGTACACAACTCGCATCAATATCCAATCGCTCCTCGACTGTGGCTTACATGATTGGACATACCTTCACATCGCAAAATCCACAGGTTCCAAATCTAGAGGGCTGAAAGCTGAAATGAGTCTCAATATGGTTGTAGGGGTTGGTTTGTGTGGTGCTGGGTCCATTGTGTTTGTGTGCTGTGTAGGTCCTGCAGGGCCGCCCGTCTGCTCTCTGCCTGGTGTGGAAGGGGCTTGCTGTGGCAAGCCAACCATGACCAGCTGGGCTCTCGTGCCCACAAGGAACTCAGGAGCAGGAGGCTATAGCCCGTCTGCATCTGCAGGCTGTTAACCTCACATCTTATTGCACTGACACATCAATTATTGTTATTAAGGGCCGGAGTAATTTATTTATATACTGATTTCCCACAGGATGAAGGCAGGACTAATTGAGCCAGGTGTGTGTATGTGTTCATGCTGGATGGGCTGGGGGAAATTAGAGTGCATGGTGAGAATGCCATGCAAAACTAATATATGGTGGGACATCCCATAGCATGGATGGCACGATGAAAGATGCAAAAGGATTTTAAATATTCCCTGGTCAGTGTTCCCTGTGGACAACAACAACATAACTACACTGACTGCTTGTGTTATTCACAATGAAGCAGCTGAAGATCCCATCTGAATCTTGCAAGTTATGTCAACACTGTAAAAAGGTTTTAACTGGAGAAAATTTAGAGCAGATGAATGTAATTAAAGAATAAAAGAGAATTAAGGCTTGACTATTCTGCCAATTCATGTCAGACACCCCCCACCCTGTCTCTCCCCCCGCCAGCCCCCACCAACTGTCCATCCGTCACCATTTATCTCCCTCTGTCTCTCTCGACCTTGGTTTTGAACACAGAGAACAAAACACTGTGCCTCTCTCCAGTCTCTCTGCATTGCTTCTGCTCATACTGACATTAACCACCACCAACAACCCCCCCCCCCCCGCCACTCTTTGCACTGGTGGTGCGTCGTGTGCGTGGGATACCGGGCCATTCACGTCACGTAAAGGAATGTTCACAGAAGACTGGGGATGGGAGTCTATTTTTTTCCTCTCCATAGTAAACATCTTAACATGCATCACTCGTTGCTTACACTGAACCACGAGGTTGGCTTGGAGATGAACCTGGCGCTGCGCTCACACGCACGCGCCCGCGCGCACACGAGCTTTCGCACGCACACACACACACACACACACACACACACACGGGTACTCTACATTTCTATCTATCTCTATGTGAGCAAATGGAAAGCTGGAGCGCAGTGGCAGGTAGACAACCCCCCCCCCCCTCTCATCATTAGTATTCACCTCCACAACCGTTTTCAGAAAATGAAAGGCGAAGATACATGCGTACAGACGCAGCAGCGCAGCCGTCAGCGGATCAGCAAAGTAGCTCGTAAGAACTTACCTTTCGACAGCAGAACCAGGATCAAGCCAGCAAACACGTTCCACAAGAGGGGGCAGCCCATGATGGAGTTCTGATTGATTTTCTGCTTGTTTTTGCAGTCAAATGCCTTGGTATTCCTCCTTAATCGCACCGTTGCGGGCGATCTGTGTAGCCTACTAAAAAAAACCGACCCAGTGGATGAATGTCAACAGCAATAGTCCAACGCTTCTACATGTGACTGGGCGAACACATCAGTCTTATCCACTTGACTTTTCCTTTTGATGACCCCCGTCGGAGAGAGAGGCGGAGGGGGCTGTTTATCTTCTCCTGTGTAGAATCTCTCAACCAGAAAAATATTGAGCAGAAAAAACAAATATCCCAGACACTTAGTTTGGCTCTCAGTGCCTTGAAGAAAAGAGAAGATATTTTAGAAAATGCATGGGAAGAGAAGGTAAAATTTAAACTGTCCAATGACTTAAAATAAATATGTTTTTTCTTTCTTTGACAGAGAATATGATGCGATATGTGCGTCCTGATCAGTCGCAAGTCGCCACTTCTGCGTTAATTAGCCTGCTCCTGTATGTCTCTGTTGGTATGCAGCGCGTCTCGTGGCTCCGCACTCAGTGCGTCGCAGGCAGCGGCACTGAAAGCGAGGCGCACAAGAAAGAGCATGATTGACAGTTCAAGGAGAGCCCCTTTCTCCCAATCACCGGCCCCAAGGAAGGAGGCGGGATTTACGATTGCACCGATGTCCCGCTCGGAGAGGCCGGCCAAGGAGTATCGCCGGCCAATCGGAGGCGCGCGGTGGGCGGGCAAAGCGCGAGGCGAAGCACGGCGCGGTGATAATGCAATGTGATTTATAGCCAGTTCGGTGTTGCTGCAGTACTCAGAGAAAACAGTTCACAGGGGGACAGGCGGGCATAATAACTACAGGGACAGAGGTAGGGGGCGAGTGAGGGGCAGGTGGAGCCATATGGGTTTCGGAGACGCTCTGAATGAAAAGAGAACGCGGTAGAATGACAGGTTGTGCTGCTGATGAGCAGATGTTACTCAATTGCTGAAAATCAATATTGTCAGACCAGAGGAGGAGAAGCTTGTAAAGTGAGCCAGAAAACTGCCCTCAGACACAGGCTTTAGGTTTTGGTTAGACTGGGTGAACTGGGCAGAGAGTAGATGCTGAGCAGATTGTAACAGCACTGCAGAAAACACGCCATCTGATCATGCTGCTGACTTAATGGAAGGCAACATAACCCATTTAGGAAGACGCTTTATATTTAAGCACAAGTACTAATGAGCCATTTATAAACATGTTAGTCTCTTAGTTAGTCTCGGTGCTGCGAAAGGTACTAAAAGCACAAGAAGCAGTCGCCTCTGGTAAAAATCAAATTCACATGGTGAGCTAATCATCTTGCTCGAAAGCTAGAAGCCTGAGACGGACACTGGCTACTACACAAGAAGCTGTGTAACTGTGGGTGCTTTTTTTTTTTGTTGCAATATTTTTCTGTATTCATAAAATTATTATATCCATGCTGATGTACTGTTCTATTTTGACTGAAACACTTGTTTCTTTATTCCCCAAATAACCAATTAACGCTTTATTACTGCTGAGTGCATAAGTAATAAAGCACTGATTGCTGATCTACAGTATTCGGACAGAATTAGAATAAATACAGTGGGGACTGACTGCTAATCTGCCCCAGATGAAAAATGGAGGAAGGTGAACAGGCGAACTCTAAGAAAAGCCAGGCCTGATTAATGAGTCAGCTAATCAAAACCCAGCATTAGTTATTTACAGTGTGTGATTTGTTTGTAAATACTTATTATTCACTATTAATTGAATTTGACACAGTGGAGTGAACCAGGAGTCAGTCATGTTCACAATGTTAACTGATAACCACTGACACATTGCACCATTTTTTAAAATGTTTCTCACGGGCGGACGGGCGGATAGATAGATAGATAGATAGATAGATAATATTACAAGTAACTGAATAAAGAGAACAAGTCTTAGGGAATTCAACATGGATACCCGTAACTATATGCTGTTGGACAAAACAATTAAGCCCTGCACTGTATGGTACACTGTTCCTCTAATCACCATGTCCTCCTCTTCCTCTTCCTTTGAACATACAACATTTGCCGCAGGACTACAATGTACAGCTTCCACACTAGCATAGAAACATTGCCTCTGTGTGACATTCAAGACTCTGATCTAAACAAGAGATACAGTATATGCAGTTGCAAACCTTCATTAATGGTATTCATGATTGCAATCTGTAATTCAGCTGGGTTTCCATGTACTTACCAATATTATTTATAGACCTGTCACGAGATGCAGTTTGTTTGTACTCTGTTGTTCCAAGTTATTAGATAAAAGTAGAAACACCTGCAAAAATGTTGACACAAATTTGCATTTTGACTCAGATTTTACAAAGCCAATTACCCTCAGACCTCGCAGCTCCCATCATACTGTTTGACATCCTCAGCACAGTGGAAGTGGGTTTGCATGGAGGCTGAGGATGAGAAATATTTCCCAGGCTGAAGCCAAACGTTACTCTGGACTTGCAGACTAAGCCCTCACAGACTTTTGTCGTACGTACAGTGACGTCTTAACCACCATCAGGTCAAGTCTGCGAGAGCGCTGGACTGTAAGGGGATGAAATGTGCTATACGAGACAGGATTTAAAGCCCGTGTGTGCTTCCCTCTAGGTTAACTGAAATTTCTGAGCCGATAAAACTTATTTCAAAGTATTTTTCCGAACGGTTCTTAACAGTATTGATGTTGGCAAGAAAAACCGCAGAAAGTCCACTTGAGGCCGTTTGTGGACTTGATGACCACCCTCGGCACACACAGACTTCCTCGGAACGGTCCATTAAGTTTGCGAGTCTGCAGGTGCGGTGAAGTCCGTACATTTGGATTCAGCCATAATTTTGGAAAGACCGACGTGAATCTGCAGAAGGAAATTGTGCTGCATTTTGCATTATAATTTAAAAAGGCACAAAACTAATTTACACATGCAGCACTAACTGTAACATGTTCCCTCCTCACATGGACATTGTTACTTTGGGTTTATGTCACTATACTTACTCTGGTTCTCTACTGTAGCAGGAGCACATACTGTAAATAATGCTACTGTGTTGGGTACCAAGCACAGACCATATATGAGGACTAAATATCACCACTCCCTCCCACTATGCAAAAGTGATGCTAAAATAGTATGTAGGGGCTGCAGACTTCCCTGCTGGGGACTCAAGGCCTGAGAGCCAATGAGAAGGCTTGAAATTGAGGACATCATGTCACATGATCATCTATCGTGTACATCATGAACAGATGGCCAATTCACGGTGCACTCGCGATTTACTTCATTATATTCTTGCTCTTTTGGGTTAAGTTGCTAGACTTTGCTGACCTGTGGAAATATGATCCCAGTAACATTACAGCTGTCACCTTGTTCAGACCTGGTGTTAACATCTCGTCTCTTGTGATCCGATCACAAGTGGACAGCAAGTTTACAAGTACCCGTGTGAACGCGCCTCAGATGCATTGAGGACACATTTGACATCCATCTGTAAGCTGGCTTGCCACTGTTTTTGTTGGTCAGAGTCAAATTACCATACCAAGCAACAATGCAGAACATTAAAATTGATTCAATAAAACCTCTATAAAAGAGAGTCATCATCTCAGAGGAGACATTAAAAGGACACATCTTCCTCAGGAAAAAAAAAAATCCCTGTCGGACCGTTTTCGTGGCCACATTCTTTGAGCTGTGTAAACACAAATGCATCCTGGGCCACATTGAAGGACCGCCTCCTCAACTGACGTCCGCTGCCACAGTCTGATTAGTCCCGCCACAGTTTCACAATGACTGACATTATTTTACTATTTCAAATGGCTGAAACCTTAATCCATTGCAGAGCTGCAATAATTCACTCAACCTCTCGCCCAGACGTTTTTTATTTTGCATTTGGAGCTTGGAAGAGAGATTCGATCACAAGTGGTCACTTGAGACGCATGTGGAGACGCATTTTAATGCCAGGTGTGAGGACATGTACTTAGAGCTGTCCGTTTGAGATCGGATCACCTGAGACGTATTTTAATGTCAGGTCTGAACAGATTCTGGCTGTGTGGCTTCTGAAATTATTATGGGCTGCTTGTTTAAACTAGCTACATCTGATACTAGAGGACTGCCTCCTTTGCTTCATTTGTGTTGTCCTTTCCTCTCCGATTCTACCTGTCTGATCTATCTGAGGCGCCTGTACGTGGATCTTAGAGTTAAAGCAATAGTAAGCACATGCAATTTAGTTCATGTGTAAACAAAAAGGTTACTGGAGGTCAGGATGGTGAATGAACACCTATATAATCACCTTTAATTCCAATGAACCAGGCTTGATCCACAGAAAAGATTTCCATTATGAGGAAGGTTGAATTTTGACTAAAGCTCTTAATTTCTGGACTAAATGTAAATACGCAATTGTCTATTTATCCAGTCCACCACGTGTTCATCTCATAATGTTTTAAAATTCACTATCTATTTAAAGATAGCAAGAATCCAATCTTCAAACATGTAAATTTTTCATCTGCTCTCCCAATTTTGTGCCACAGATCGTCCTTTAAGAGTGGGCATCAATTTTTTCCAAATGGTGGTTATCTCATGTTGGGAGGAACAAAAATAAATTTTGTATTGAACAGGTTTGCCATTGTCAGTTGAGTGCTGGAATAAACAGAAATAGCCAAGTGCCAGTTATTATCTATCTATATCTTCTGACCTTTCCGTTTAGAGTCATCCTGGCTGTTAAGTCTAGTTGCAATGTTTTCAAATTCTCATCGATTTATTGTATTCATTTGTTTTTTTCTGTATCTAAAAGCATCGTCAGTGTCAGTTTTTTCCCTGGAGGGCAACACAGCCAAGAAAAACATGAACAATCATATTAATGTTGCATCAATGTGCAGCATTAATATAAGCACAACCCAAGCAGAAGAGACTCACTAAGACAACTCAGAGAGACTGACAGTGGACCCTCATTTCAGACCACATGCTATTGGTGCAATGACCACATAGAGAGAAAAAAATCTAATAAAGTTAGTAAAGGTGAGTGGGC